CTGCCAATGTAATCAAGATAGGCGCTGCTCGTATGGCTCTTGCTTTGACAGTTCGTTTGGCTCTATTCGTTGCCAAGTCAATTGAACGCCTACGACCAGATCGGTTTGAGTTGAACTCAACTCTCCTGCCTCATCTTAATCCCGCTTAATGCAGACCTTTTCCGTGCAGTCAATAATCATACAATAATAATAAAAAGATCCACCACTTGAAGATGTCATGAAATAACTCTCAGGTGGAAGCATACCCTAATAAAAATTAACCATAAACGAATGATAACCCAAATCATTGAACTATTCCACAAATGGTTTGGATGATACCCAGAACACGTCGTTAAGCAAATTAACCATACAATTTTTATTATGGTATTTTCATGGGCGATTCTCTCCAGTTGAATGCATTAACTTATCAACGACGTTCAACCACCAAGGAGACGTGACCTAGAGAGATCGAGTGCAGGGGAGTTGGCTTCCATTTCTCACAAGTTCCGGATCGAATCTCAATCCTTAACCAGTAAAAAAAGGACTCACCCGTAACAGACATTACCACCCCCTTCCCTACCCGGGGCGATGTTTTATTTTTTCGATTTATTTTTAAAGTCGATAAAGTAGATCTGTCAAGCCAACACATACACTCTAAAGTAAACTGTTATTTTTTTTAATCAATAAATTCGCCAACCAACAGTAAAATAACAATAATATAGAATGTTATTGAAAAAAAAAATTATATGGGGAAAACACGAAAATTTCATTGTTAAGATACTTAACAACCCCCATTTTTTATTTTAAATTTTCCATTTACCATAAAATTTACTGTTTTGTACAACATAAATGAAGGTAAATTTATTGTAGACGTAACAATATAAATCATTGTTAAGACAATAATTTTCGTCTTATTGTTACATTGTTTTTTATTGTATTTTTGTTGTTATTTTTTTTCGGGTATGCAATAAGAGCTTCTCCCGACCGTTCCAACAGCCATAAGTAGCTGACTAAGTTCGCCAGATTTGCTTGTATAGAAGTTGAGTATAGGTTTCCTCATAGCATATAACGTTTGAATACAGCTTGAGGCTGTATAAATGAAATGAGTAAAGCGTTAACATTGTGAAAATTGTTAGTTGGGAAGTAACCTCTTGTGAACTGGTCTGCGAGATGAAATGGTTAAATAACATTCTCATATGTAATCGTAAGTACTTAATTTTAAGTTGTTGCAGAGGCATGGTTGAAGCCTTAATCCTTCGGTGAACACACACTTGAATATTGCAAGTGTGCAGGCAGAAAGTATTGATAAGGATAGTATTAACAAAAATTACTATACGTAGTATATAGTATTTTTATGCAAGAGTTCTATCAACGGAATAACGGACAATTACTATTATTTTATCATTTTTCCTTCCATAAACTTGCTATAATCATTAATTTATTTTAGTTTTATATTTTCTATTACGGTTATTATTACTTCTATTACTATCAGTCCACTTATTAGTTATTAGGAGATCATTATCAAATCATTTTGTATTGGTATTAACACTGTGATCATCACAAGATTATCAAGCCTATGTATTTAATTGATGGCCCGAGAGGAGTTTTAACAAAGATTTATATGATCTTAACGATTACATAATATTTATATTAAAATTATTATTATTATATTTTATATTTTGTATTTATTGATGATCAAAATGTCATTGCCTAAAATATCTTTTTGGGAACCAAGTCAGTGGTGGTTCAACCAGTAGAACAGAATTCAATGGTAGAGGCCTTAATACATCAACTTAATATGAAGGTGGAGGTATTTAGAGTATATGATCTTAAGGATAATGAATTTTTTTGTTTAATTGGAGACTTTATTGAAAATAACAGAGATGTTTTCCATTAGTACTGAGGAACAAATGCTCAAGATGTTTTGGATAATATCTATGCAAACTCTGTAGGAGTTCAGATCGAAATGGCTCAAGTAACTGCAGAGATGTTTAACAATAACATTAATATTTTTCAAAAAAACGGATTTAGTGACAGCATCAAGCCTTTGGAGGGATTAAAAAGGCATGGAATGTAAATATTTTTATGAGGCTTTATGGGGTTAATAAGTTCTACAGTATCATAAGCATGTATCAACAAGGCATGGAGCATGAGGTGATGAACAGTGAATAGATTTGGACGCAACACCAACAGGAATTATCTTATTTTGTTAAAAGATATAAAACATATAAAACTGACAACGTTGAAGTATTATTGTGCGTTGTAGAAAATAATAGTTCATGGTTAGTAGTCATTAATCACCAAATATACTGGATTTTGGAGAAACAACCCAAGTAACCAAAAGTTCCGCATTCAACACATCCATGTTCCATAAAGTTCAAATAAAGTTCCGACAGAACTTTCAAGTTCCATAAAGTTCAAATAAAGTTTCGACAGAACTTTCTAGTTCCATAAAGTTCAAATAAAGTTCCGACAGAACTTTCAAGTTCCATAAAGTTCAAATAAAGTTCCGACAGAACTTTCAAGCCACATGAAGCAATCCGCACAAATCTTTTTTTGTAACAAAATTTAATGTACGTAAATATGAAATAATCAGTGGCCCGAATAAATCAAAATTCTTATATTTATGCAACATTCTATCCAAAAATAAAAAAATAAATTAAAAAGTAATTTCCTGGATTCGAACCCGTGTACTCGGCATGTGATCTACTATTGCTAACCACTGCGCCACAAGTGTGATGGAATACCATGCAGGCAAACACAAATTTAAATTCATCAAGGTGTTGTGTTTCGTATTCAAGTCAGTTAGCTGGCTCTGAAAACTCCAACAATAGGCGGGACAACAGCTCACTTTAATATATTTCAGGTGACGTAGTGGTTCGTGCTGAGACTCTCACGCAGAAGGACTGGGTTTAATTCTTCCAACAGCTCCATTACTACTACTAATGCTGATAAATCAATACACATTAATACATGCCTTTAGAAATAACTTTCATAAAAGTGCGAACTAAATATAGAATTGGTGTAGAGGACAAAAACCTTTTTTAATTTATTTTCTAAAAGTTCCGTTCAAGTTCCGTCTGAGGCTGCTTAGAATGCTCTTCAATTATGGCACCAGAACTTTCAAGTTCTTATAACGACTTAAAATGAGGCTGCTTAGAATTCTATAGACCACCTTCAACCAAGGTGCTTAAGCCATAAATAGCCATTTATCAGAACTTTTGGTTACTTAGGAAGAGTACATTAAAAGGATAACTCAAGAATTGAGGGAACGTTTTTCAGGGCACAGAAACAATCAGGTTGTAAATTGGAAATCAGTAGAGAATATTTTGAACAGAAGTATTATCTTATACCAAGAGGACAAAGACACTGAAGTATTCGGAGAAACATTATTTCAGGGAGGGAATAAATGTATAACAATATGGAAAAATTATTACGGAGAGGAGAATTATGCAAGCGTGATCGCAAGTCAGAAGTATATGAAACAGGATAGAAATGATACGGAAGTTGATCAACATAAACGAATAAGATTAACTAATAAAGTAAATGAAGAAATAGATGAAAGTCAAGGAAAAGACAAACAAGACGAAGGCGTAGATTTTCCAAAATATTTATTAAATAATTCAGGTTTGATCATTTAACTCTCCTATCCTTGGAAGTTCGTTGAAGCGATTGATATTCTTGCGGCGATGTAGCTTCAGATCTTGGTTGGTCACGCCATTCAAACACCTTCTTCGTCTGGGAAACGTGGCGTTTCAAAGTATGTCCATCATCGTCGCTGAGTACCAGGTTACCGTTTCTCTCTTCCATTACCGTATACCGCTGTGTGCCGAATCTTGAAACACCTTTCGGTCGTGATTGTTGTTCAACTATGACCGTATCTTGACTTTCAACTGGCATTTCCTAGCACCGCGTCAGATGTCCTCCCGTTCTTTGGACTTAAGGGGAGGTTTACTTGGATTTTTTCAAAAAAATTGATTTTTTTTGCATAAAATGAAAGCTACAAGTGTGTAGAATATGTGGCCAAAAGGATTTTACGATCCGAAACATATTTAGCGAGTTATGGCGCTTTGAGTGAACCTTTGTCATGCGCGCTGAGGGACGCTACAAAAACTTTAAACGCGTTTTTCTCGAAACCATATTTTTATAACAACTTAGAGCATAGGGCTTGAACAAATGATCCGATTTACAATCGGAAAATTGGGCTTTGGAGGATACTATTTTTTGTATGGCTTATACCTAAAAATGAAAAAAAAATTGTTAGTTACTATTTTTTAAGCAAGGTCAAAGTGAGAAAAAAAGGGGTAAAAAAAGCACTAAATTTTCAAATGTCCATAATTTGGTCAATTGTTGTCGGATTTCGTTCTAGTTAGATATAAGCCATAGGGAATATTATCAACTTTAACCACAATAAAAAAAATCATTTCAGTTCACCACCAGAGGGTGTGTACTCGAAGTTCTGCAGCAAAACCTGACTGACACCCCTCCACGCGAGCCGCCATTTTGAGCCACCATTTTGTTTTTTTACCTTTAAAAAATTTCCAAGTATTCAGGAATAGTGGACAAATATAATTATCGAAACCGGAAGTTCGTATGTCTTTTCATTCTCCTGAAAAAAAATCCAAAGTTCAACTGTTTTTCAGCCAAATCCAAGTAAACCTTCCCTTAAGTTTCATATCTCGATCCCTCTGGTTAAGAACGCCGTTGTCGTGATTCGGGAGATCGAAGAGTGGCAATCCCCGCTTGATCCTTCTACCTCGCATAATGGAACCTCAGGTGGAACCTTCGTTATAGTGTGGTAAGCTGCATTGTGCGCCCGAATAGCAGCTTGCAGTTCTTCTTTGTAATTTGATCCGGTAGAGGCCGGTATGGCCATTGATTTATTAATTATCTTCATGTAATTTTCCACCAAAACGTTTTGTTGTGTAAAAACGGCGTTGAGAAAATAGTTTTAATTCCTCTTTCATGACAGTATTGCTTATAATCTTCTCCATTAAATGGGGTCCGTTATCGCTTTTTACGCTTTCCGGAAAACCTTCCGTATCGATGAATTCGTCTAGCACTCGCTTCGTTAGCTCGAAGCTGGTTGATTTGATAGGACGGGCAATGATGTATCGAGAACGATAATCGACGATAACGAGGATGTGAATTCCTCCGAACTTAGCATAAGGCCCGTTGAAATCCACAGCGATGGTCTCCCAGGCAGTTTTCGGAACTACCGTACGCTCCATTGGAGTGGGTTTTCCTGGTCTACCATTGACTGCGCAATGTTGGCAGGCCTTGACCCAGTTTTCAGCGTCCTCCGGCATGCGAGGTCCCCAGACGCGCTCCCGTAAGATGGTCTTCAGCTTTGCAGACAATGCATGACCTTCGTGAGCTACTCTCAGTGTTTTCTCTCGCTGCGACTTGGGGAGACCTCCTTTCAAAGTGATTCCATTTATAAGGCACAGCTGGCCATTCTCCAGACTCTATGGCAAGGGATACTTCGGTTAGTGCTGGATCTTGCTTTGTAGCCTCACAAATTTCTTCTTCTCGTTCAACGGTCGACTAGTAAAAGGGCGAGTGCTTGACTTCGCTGCACAATCGAGGCCCGAATCTATCGGGAAACCGATCGAGGCCCGAGCAGATGTGATGCCAGAGAGTTGGCGTTATCTGTTGGTAGCCCTGTGGCTGATGGTGTTTAGCAATAGGAATATACCGAGGGGTTATTCAATATCAAGGTTTCTCATTCCCCACTAGGGAAAGTATGACATAAAAAGTACAGGAGTACGAAACACGAAGGATTTTAACTGTTGAAATGATAGAAGGAGATGGTAACTGCCTAGTAAGAGCATTGTTAGCAAATTAATAAGAATAGGTAGAACTTTATTTATAATATACAGAATATTCTTAAATTTAGAAATGCTATAGCAAGCTACATGATGAGGAACCGTGAGATAGTTGAACCATATTTAACAGAGAGTCTAGAAGAGGGAGGTTTTATGAAATTCATAAATAAGGTAAAAAGTTTAGGAACAGGCTAGGATATGAGTGTATGGTGGCAGTAGCAGAATTATTTGATAAATGCATTATGGTCTATCAACAGGATTGTCAAAACATGATAATAGGTGAGGAGAAAGAGGAGGAAGAAAATATTTTAAGAGTATTCGTTACAGGAGTAGGTAGATAGAAGAATCACAATGATAGTGTAATAAATATATTACAAGAAGAAGGATATGATATTATCGAGAACGGGAAATTGTATTCAGGAAGCAGTGAACATTTTCGAGAATTAAAAGAAGTGAGGACGTTCAACATAAATACAACGGAGAAACGCGAAGAAGAAATACAACAAAAGGAAACAGGAATGGTTGGGGAAAAGTATGAGGACAAAGAAGAAGAAGATAAGTGCAGAACGATAATTATAGCGTCATTGAATGTGAGAGGTTGTTCGAAAATTGACAAACGTAAGGAAATAGATTCAGTAATGAGTATTTAACGTCGGTCTCTGTTCCGCAATCTAGTGCCAATCACCGACGGACATCGATTGCCATCCATTGACGGCAATCGAATGTGCAGGAAGGCAGCTTCCACACCTGCGTAGGATATCGCACCCATTCAACACACATGGACCGGGACCAACGGCTTTACTTTCCTTCCGAAGGAAGACGTGACCAGAGATTTTTATGCCTCAGAAAAATCCCACCGACCTCGGCTGGGATTGAACCCAGACCCATTGGGGTGTTAGAAAGCAGTCACGCTTACCACTACACCACCGGCGCCGCGTTGGCAAAAACAGTACTCGAAAGAATACACGAGAGGAAAGAGAATAAAACAACGATGTCCGTTGTCACCTTTTTTGTTCAATATGATTATGCAGGATGTGCTACGGAAAGTTAAAGTAAGGATTCCCGATTTGAACTTGATGATAACAGGATCTTTGAAGCTCCCCTTGATATTAGCCTTTGCTGGCGATATATTAATAATTAAAAATGATCAAAATACATTAGAAACAATATTAAAAGCACTGGAAGAATGTTTTAATCAAGTAGAGCTGGAGATAAATAATAATAAAAGTCAAATACTATTGCGTGCACCTAACGCCTCGGTAGAAATTCCGGATACTTTCAAGTTGAACCATAAACAGTACGCTGTAAGCGTACTGTTTGGGATCAGGGCTGACAAATACCTTAAACCGACCTGCAACAACAAAACAAAGATGTGTAAACGCAGAAAAAGTTGCAAAAATGGTTGTGGAATTTTGCAAAAAATATAAACCATCCTGGGAGATAGGAAGGTTAATTTATAACACGGTCATTGTACCATCTATACTCTATGGGACGAAAACTGCTACATTGACAAAGATAAGCAGGAAACAGTTAGGAAGATACGAGAAACAAATCTTAAAGGACATTTGGAACCATTGCAGACAAACAAGCAGTAGCTGCAAATTTAATATGCGTCAGGAATTAAAGGGCAAGACGATCAACAGAAGAGTACGAGTGAACCGGATCAGTTACTATGGGCACATACAAAGAAGAGAAGAGAACTATCCCATAAAAATGGCCTATGATTTGAAATTTAATAAGAAAAAAACATGTTAGACCAAGTTATACATGGAGAGATTCATTGGCTCAAGATTTTAATATGTATAGTGGTATTAGTGAAGAAGATTGGAGATTATTGGCACATGATAGAGACAAGCTTAAAAAGAAAGGAGAAGAAATTTACAAAAACTCAGATAGTGAAGTAATGGATAATAGTTGAATAGTGATGATTAGTGTGTTACGATGAAAAATTGTTGTTAAAATCTTAATGTAAGCAATTCGTGCCTTGGCGGCTTAATCAACGATTAATCAAATAATAAATTATACAAACATAATAAACAGACAAAATAAGATCATTTTATCAAAAAGGTTTGAATAATAAACATGGACAATACATAGGAATACAATAAAATATATACCTTAACAATCAGATATATACAGAGAATAATAATATGATAAATAAAATATTGAACCAAAAGTTCGCATTTTTTTTTAAAGATATTTTATTTAAAACAACATAATTTTTCATAATTTAAATCAAGTAGTTGAAACTTTAAAAAATAAAAATAAAATTCAATTAAAATGAAATGATGGTAACGAGTAACTTCCAAACAATAACATTATTTTTTTAAATAAATATCAAGTAGTGGAACGCATAAAAAAATTAAAATTAAAAAATATAAATAAATCCGAAAACTTTATTGAAGTGAGAGTTGATGGGAGGTCGTTACAATCATTTTAGATACAGTAATGGAATTCAATACCCTAAAGAAGCGTATTTTAAAATAAAGTGTTAAACAAACATAACAATAGTAAGTTATATATATATATATATATATATATATATATATATATATATATATATATATATATATATATATATATATATATAATATATATATATATATATATATATATATATATATATATATATATATATTTATATATATCCTCCTGGATCCCCAACACGACATTTACCAACATGAATCGATTCGCCAACACCTCATCATTACCTTCATCGCCATCGACGATCATAGCAACTACAACAACAGCAACGCCGATGACGACGATGACACATCAGTAAGCCAGAACGGCAGCCAGAACGTTCAACCCCGAGCCACCAAATCTCGAACATCACCAGTTTACTACCCAGCAACACTAAGTAGCACGGATGTACATGCGGTTATTCTCACGTCAGCAGACTCTCACCCGGTAACCATCGATGTCACCGGCCAGGACCATGCGACGGAACCTCAGCAGTTCATTGCCCATGCATTAGCAACACAGCGACCGCATTCTTATAGGTTCTTACGCAGCAGTAATTAGCTAGGGCGATAGGTTTCGTTTTATTTTATAATTAATAAACAGTTCAGTTGATTGTTAACAGTGTAACGAGTAAGAGTATATATATATTTGCTCGGGGAGTTTTATGAACCCTAACCCTAATTCCTTTATTGCAGTTTAGAAATGTTTTCCACTCACATGAATAATACTCATGATGTTCAGATTTTAAACACACAATCAGTTCACCTCATTTCATTACTGTCCGAGAAAAAAGCTTCATCCAAAAGCTTTCTCGTCGCTACAAGTTTCTATATACAAAAGTCCACTATGTACAGAAAAATACTCGCAGGTGGCCTTAACAACGACTAGGATTCGTCTGGTGTCGCCCTCTTACGTACACAGTCTTCTTTGTCTTAGTACTTGTTTCACCTCTCCGTGCCATTCACAATAATCACTGTTCCTTGTTCTCCCATACCCCAAACTGTCTGGTCGAGCCAAACAACGTCACATTTTGTCTTGGGTTTCTCCATCAGCGTGCTTCCGTAAAGCGGGAGTTATGTAAACTTCCCTGTTCTGGTCGCCGGACCTGGTTCATTTCATCCAATCCATTGTGACGCGAATATACAGTGGACGCTTTTCTCTTCGCGGTTCACCGTGTGCTTTCACCGTCTATTTGTCACTGTATATAAACTCTCAAGTGAAAATTGAACACTCGTTGCTTTGCCTGCTGTTCTTTTAAAAAATCCCGTACCCCTTCAACGCTTTCTTTCAATCCCGCAGGATGGGGCACATTCCAGAAAGTTTGCCCATATATTTGCGGCGTGGCAATAAAGCAGCGCACACGCTTCGATTCGATTTGATATCTTTAGCCGACTGAAGAAATATTTTTACGTTTTATAAATTTTAATAAAACAATAATCGCCACTCCTTCTTCCCTCATCAATTCCGCCTTTTGCGGCAATATGACGCAGTAAGTAAACTAAAGACTACGGGGAGGGGGAGGGACTTTAGCAGCGTGACAGACTGTCGATTATCTTTTGAGAGGTACAGTCAACCTCTGGTTTATCTTGCTAGTGAATCATGAGATTTATTTCGATTGATATACTAGGATGGAGAACGGCATCGTCCCCAAAAGACTCTATCCTAAGCATGGGGTGAATATTGAATCCTAATGACGTGGCTCTCGTGAAAATAAAATGGTGAGTCACCTCACTAGTGACAGCGAGTCACCTAATTAACGTTAACGTATAACGTAATTAACGTTAACGTATAACGTATAACGTATAATTAACGTTCAAACCTCATTTTTTGCAGGATGATGCTTCTTATCATAGAGCATGTTTTGGATAGACTTCAGATTAATATTCTTTAGAAAACCCGTGAAATAGGGTCCCGTGAGTAATCTGAGTTAAATTAGTTTAGTTTAGCAAGTTAATCTAATTTAACTCAGCATATTGCTATCTATGAGTTGCTACCCACCTGTGGGTTACGAGCCCAAC